CGAGGCTCACTGCGGGGCGGAGGCGGGGGTCCCCCTCGGCCAAGCCGCTAGTCCTGGCTTCCTCCCAGGGGGACCCTGGCGGAGGCGCAGCCGGAGGCACAGAGCCAATTAGCATTTTGATTGCGGGGCTTGGGGGGTGCATCTGGAACCAGGCCTAATTATTTGGCGGACCCTCGGGGCATCGGCAGGACTTGCCAGGCGCGACCCCCTCTCCGGGCGTTCACTGCCTCCTCCCGGACACACATACAACACCCCACCCCGTCCTTGCAACTCTCCCTCTTTGCGGGTCCACAGGCCCAGTCATCCGGTTGTTCTGTTCCTCTGGACCCCTCATTCTTGCCCTCTTCTAAACCGTTCCAGCCTCAGTCCTCACCTTCTCAGTCTCTTAGTTCAATTCTTCTGTCGCCCCGCACTTAATCCCTCTCGTTTTCCCATCCTTCCATCCGATTTCTTGGTCCCCAAATGCCTATCTCCCTGACCACATCCCTTGCTCTCTGTCCATTTCATCACCCTTTTGGCCTCCAATTCCCTCCACCGACAAGACGTCCAAGCGTGGACACCTGTATCTACCTACCCTGGCACACCTGGGGCTCCACTTGGAAGCTTGCTTGTCCAGGTGGATGCCACAACCTCTCAGGGCACTAGCCAAGAGGGGCAGCTAGCCAGGTTCAGTGCTTGGCCATCAGAATTCACCTGTTCAGGTGCTTTTCTAGTGCAATTATTTAGGCCTTCTTGCCCTGCCTTTGTGCAGCATCCTTCAAATCTGGAGCCCATAGAGACTGGAAGACAGTTGATGACTCTTAGATTCTAAAAAGTTTCCACCTCCTCCACCAGAGGATCCCTGAGCCTCTCCTGCTGAAAGCTGAGATCCTGGACTCTTTGTTACAGGAAAGAGGTGGTAAAGGTCCCCAGCTGGGTATGCTCTGGGCCCTGCCTGGCCGAGCCTCCTAGCCACTCCCTGCAAAGCATCCCAGTAGGGACCTCTTGCTGTCCTGGCTCAAGGGCAGCTCTGCTCAGTCCCTCATCCCTCTCTAGTTGGGCAACCCAGTGTTGGTTTAAGACTGTTTCCCTTTTTTTGTGTGTAAGTACCACTTCCAGTCCTGTCCAGACCCCATGTTGCAGAAAGACCAGGGTTAAGGGGTCACTGTTGTGTTTCCAGCACCTCCACACCCAGCCAGCAAAGGCTGAGACCCTGCTATATCCAGCCCCAGGTGCTGTGGTCCCCTTCTCACTGCTCTGTCCCAGCCAAATACCAACCTAGGAAATCAGTGAACAGCCTATGATGGAGGGCCCACCTGTCTTGCTGGGAAGAGGAGGTGACAGATGGAGAATGGGGAATGAAATTGAGATGACAAGGTGGGCAGTAACTATGGCGACTGGGTAGAGCCTGTTGTTGGGAGAGGATGAAGTTGTTAGCAGGGTTAAGAGCTCAAGCTGAGCTGGGGATTTAGCTCAGTGTTACTGTCGCCTGCCTCGCAAGGGCAAGGTCCTGAGTTCGATCCCTGGTACCAAAAAAAAAAAAAAAAAAAAAAAAAAAAAAAGATCAAGCCGTGTTGGCAACACATGCCTGTGATCCCAGCACTGAGGCAGGAGAATCACCATGAGTTTTGAGGCCAGCATGGACTACGTAGTGAGCTCAAGGCCAGCCTGAACTACATAGCAAAAACTGTTGTACACATACGCATGCACACACATGTGCACACAACAGTGACCAGCAGTAGGAGTTCAGCCACAGCAATGGGGGTGGGGGTTGCCAATAGCAAGAGATGGTGCTGGGTGGCTGCTAAAGCAGATGACTTGTGCACCAACCAGAAGTCAGGCAGAGAAATAGGAATTGGCAAGTCAGTGATGAATGAGAGGGATGGTGCCCCCTTTCTAGGTAGGGGGAGAGGAACGGCCCCTCTCTGGGAGCTACTAAATGGAACCACCAGATTCCCTCAGAAGATTTGGGAGCCTGGCTGGTGACAGTAGGAGCCCAAGGGAGGGTTTCAGGATGAGGGATGTGTCTGAAAAGCATGATGGGTGGGGCAGAAGTTTTGGAAGCCAAGGTCACAGAGCCATAAGAAATAATTTTTTTTGTTTTTTTTTTGAGGGGGGCCGGGGATTTAGTTTAGTTGTTCCGCTGCTTGCTATGTAGTTCAGACTGCCCTTGAACTCACTGTGTAGCCCAGGCTGGTCTCGAACCCTCAGCGATCCTCCTGCCTCAGCCTACAGAGTGCTAGGATTACAGGCATGCGCCACCATCCCGGGCAAGAAAGCATTTGGGTCACAACACAACCATACCTATATCCATGAAAAAAGAAGCAAAAACAAAAAGCAAATATCAGAGTAATAGAAATAACATTCCCACCTACATAATACCAGATAATATTCTTTTTTTTTTCTCTCTTTTCTTTTTTTGGTACAGGGCTCAAACTCAGGACCTTGCATTTGCGAAGCAGACAACAGCACCACTGAGCTAAATCCCCGGCCCTATAAACTAATATTCTGAATATCAAAAGAAATAACTCAGTGAGACATGAACATGGTGTCATGAGCACCTGTAATCCCAGCACTCTTGGAAGGTTAAGGAAGAAAGACTGAACATCCAAACCTACCCTGGGCAGTTTGGCAACTTAGTGAGACTTTGTCTCAAAATAAAAAATTTACAGGCTGCACCACCAAGCCCTGGCTCTAAGAAGAGTATTATTTAATTTCCATGTGTTTATGTAGTTTTTGTGGTTTCTTTTCCCATTGATTTACAATTTCATTTCATTATGATCTATGATTGATTGATTTTTTTTTTTCAGTACCAGGGATCACGATCTTGGCATTTTCAGGACCTTTCGATTATGAGGCAGGTGTGGCACCACTGAACTAAATCCCCAGCCCATTGCATTATGATCTGATAATATGCATGAGATAATTTCATTTCCTTTGTATTTACCTAAGCATGTTTTATAAGCTAGTATGTAGTCTATTTTGGAGAAAGTCTTGTATGCTGCTGAGAAGAACATGTTCTGTTGTTGTTCGGTAGATTACTCTGTAGTTATCTACAAAATCCATTTGTTCAAAGGTTTGATTCAGCTCAGATATTTCTTTGTTGATTTTTTGTCTAGTTGATCTGTCTATGTGTGATAGTAGGGTGCTGAAGTCAGTTGTATTAGTGCTTATCTAATTCTTCATATTCATTTGTATTTGTTTTATATAATTGTGTGTGCTGGTATTTGGTGCACATATATTTATGATTGTTATTTCTTCCTCTTGAACTGTTCCCTTGACAAGTATGTATTGACC